AACGTTCCACTCGTACGCCTGCTACATAAACTCCAGGGAATTAGCAGTACAGGAAATCTTCTGTCCTGGATTGCCGATTTGATAAGAGGTAGGGCAATGAGCGTACAAGTGAACCAAACCCTTCTGCTCCAGTGCCTATGACTAGTGGCATTCCCCAAGGATCAGTGCTTGGACCGGAGCTCTTCAAACTGTACCTTAACGATCCGCCTACTGCATTTCAAACTGGCTGCTTGTTCTACGCCGATGACCTCAAGCTATGGTTAACAGTATTCAGCAATGAGGATGCGGACAGATTACAAGGAGCTCTAGACCAGCTACACGAATGGTCCATCAAGTAGGAACAGCCAGTAAACCGAGATAAATGCGCTGTTCTCCCAACGGGTAGCACTGAACCGTACGGTGCATACCGCATTTTTGTGTTTCCCCTCAGGAATACCGTTCACGAGATGGATCTTGGGGTTATCGTGACTTCTGACCTTAGAACGACGCAGGACGCGTTGAAGAAGTTGGCCAATGGGACGAGACTGGCGGGTGCCTTAAGAAGATCATTCACTCGAATGACTCTTGGGATTTATCGACCTTCGTTCACTACGTACATCCTTCCAGTCCTAGAATATGGCCTTCCAGCTAGCCATCCGCCTTCAACGTTTGAATGTACTCTGCTGGAAAAGGTTCAGAGACGTGCAACGAATGCTGTTCTGGGACTTCGCGGTCGCCCGTACCCCATCCGACTCCAGCGGCTAAATCTCTTCTCCCTCGAGCTCCGCCGTCGCCGGGTGATCTCATCTACACTAAGCGCATCCTCCAAGGGGAACTTTGTAGTGAGTTACAGCAATTCTTTCGGCCCAGCATGGAATGTTCCACACGAGTTCACACATGGAAACTGTTTAAGCAAATAAGACACAGAATTGGCACGGACGTCACTCTAACCACTAGAGTGGTGAATGATTGGAACAGCCTATTGGAGGAAATTGCAGGCACTCCATCCGAGGAAAGTTTCAAGAGGCTGATAGACAAGCATTCGCTGAGAATGCTGTAATCATGCGGCTGTCACTGCAATTACGATGAACCTCCGAGGAACGTCGTAATCCAAAGACAGGCCTCAAACCCAGTATGATACGGTATCGATAGAGCTGACAAGGGACTTCCCTCCTTCTCTCTACAACTCAATAAACTCAATGAACAGTGCCAGGTTAACATGATATCCGGAAGTTGCACGATTAAGCAAAGTCGGAGTCACCGACTAACGAGAAAACATAAAACATCATTTGTTGCAGTTACCTGGTACATTCGTCGCAAACAATGACGCAGTTTCTTTATAGCTACATGCACACACAATTATATACTTACGCACTCAACTACAGAAACATTTACTG